TTTTGGGTGCAAATTCATAATGAGTCTGGTTAATCTGGGTACTGCCAGAAGGGTTGGTAATTTTATTGGGGAATTTATTAAATATGAGGATGGTCACAAGAAGGAAAAGATAGAGCCGTATATGAGAATTCGGGTTCTTATGAAGATGGATAAATCGCTGAAGAAGGGGACAAAACTGAAAAAAGATGGTAAAAGTTTTTGGGTGGATTTTAAATATGAAAGACTGCCCAATTTTTGCTTTATCTGTGGTCTAATTGGACATTCAGATAGCTTTTGTCCATTGAATTATGAAGAGGGGTTAGTTTTAGAAAAAATATTTGGATCCCATCTAGCTCAGAGCGGGTGGTGGGGTGAAGACAAGCCCGACAGGAGGGCAGAACTGGGGCTTAGAGGGTTCATCGAGCTCTGGCAAAACGGAGGGGGAGAAGGGGGCATCAAAGATAGATGTAAAGGAAAAAGTTTCAGCAACTGAGTCGGCCCAAAGCTTCACACATGAAGGGGAGGAGGCAAAGGAAGAAGGTTCTAAGAGGAAGAAGATTTGGGAGACAAGGTCAGCAAAGGATTTCGGGGAGGACAACATGGCTATGGATGGAGCAAAAACGGGGAGGAGGCGGGCTTTGCTGTTTAAGCCCGCCAGAGATGCCGCAAGTCCAGTGGATGATTCGAGTGTATCGGCTGGAGCAGAAGTTTGTTTTAGTTTGTTTTGCTTATTTTTTCAGTACTGATTACTTTAGTATTGATTTTTCGTGTGTTTTTATGGTTTCAAATTGTCAGACATTGAGTTTGGATATGGGGATCGGGAGGAGGATGACAACCGTTTTTGGCTTTTTGTTTCCCAACTATGGATCAGCGAATTTTATTGTTATGACGATAAATTCCGAGTCTGGTTCAAGGGATAACGGATGTCAGATTTCTTTCTGTCTTTTGACCATAGTCTGAATGTTCATTGGTTATTAATATAAGCCGAATTCTATCAAAAAAAATGGCACGGTATAAGAAATGAATAGTTGAATCAATTACTATCACCTCAATTTTTAACAAACAACTTGTTTACCTTAATACTTTAAAGTCCGTTAATCATCGCCTAAAGTTTTATCAAATGTTACACTTTGATAAATTTTAAATTGAGCAAGATGATACGTTTATGAACCATCTTTATGGTAAGAGATTTTAGAAAGATTGACACTCCCCAAACTCAAGACAACTGAAGATAAAGAGCCCGTTTGGTAGCACCAAAATCGGCTGTTTTGGCTGATTCTGCTGAAATTTATGATATTCTGGCTGGAGTGGCTGTTTTGACTGATTCTGCTGATTTAAGAAAAAAAATATTTTAAAAATATATTTTATTAATAAATTAAAGAAAAAATTATATGTAAAAATAGCTAAAATGGTCTTCTACAGTAACTTCAGCCAATACAGCCATAAAAGTAACTCCAACCTTACTTTTTCGGCTTATTACACAATTCAGCACGCGAAAGTAAAAGTTACGTGTTTGGTGAAAAAGCTGGCTGATAAGCCTGATAAGCCGAAAACAGAGTTCTCCAAACGGGCTCAAAATGTAAATCAATGGAGAAATATTGTAGCTCAACAAATGTGGACAGATTTCATAAATAAAGAGAAAATAGATTAAGATACATTCTCTTTTATAAATTAAAAAAAAAACATTTATTTTGTTGCTTAAACAAACTTTTTTTACTATCGTATGTTCATGGATATATATTTAAAGTTTTTATTTTATTTTTGTAATGACGTCATTTGAATATTTGTAATTTTTGTTTTTTTTGTGGTTTAATAAAAGTGTAAGGGGAAGCGGCCGTCTCCTAGGGTAATTCCCTAGCGTCTTTCTTCCCGGTGACGAACAAGGCTTCCGTCGACTGGTGTTTTCTTCTTTCCATCATGAGTATTATTAGCTGGAACTGTAGAGGCATGTCCAATTCGGCCACGAAGCAAACAATAGCCGATTTAATTCAGGAGAACAGACCAAACGCCATTTTCCTTATGGAGACGAAGACTCAGTGGCAACAGGCGAAGGAGTTTCTGAGGACGTTTGGCTTCTGCAACGCTTTGGGCATTGACAGCGAAGGTAATAGTGGGGGGCTTGTGCTCGGTTGGAATGATGACATTGAAATTTCATCTCGAGCAATTAGCCAGAATTACCTGGATTGTGGCGTTCGTCTGGCTCGAGACTCCCCGGAATGGCGGATGACGTGCTATTATGCCTACCCGGCTACGGTGCAAAGGCGAGCGGCCTGGACGATGCTGAAAGGTTTGGCAGAGAATAATACACTCCCCTGGTTGGTTATTGGAGATTTTAATGACATATTGTATGCTTCGGAGAAGAAAGGTACGGTTGAACATCCGTTATGGAGGTTAAGAGGTTTTCGTGAAGCAGTAGTGAGTAGTGGTTTACGTGATTTTCCATTCCAAGGATACCAGTGGACTTGGGACTGGGGCAAGAATACTCGGTACTGGGTGGAAGAAAAATTGGACCGGATCATGGTCAATGATGATTGGTGGAATATGTTTATGGAGGCTCAGGCGTATTCGCTAGAGGCTCCAGTTAGCGACCATATGGCCTTGTACATCCGGGTTAAGTCAACAGTGCATACAAGAACTATGAAGAAATTCAAATTTGAGAATTTGTGGCTCCGGGAGGAAGATTGCAGAGCAGTTGTTCTTAATAGCTGGAATGCCGGACAGAACCTATCTGTTAGTGAGCGTATTTTATTCTGTGGGAAAGAGCTTATGCGGTGGGATAAATGTAGACCGAAAGGGTTTAGGCATCATATTATTGCTTGTAAAAAGAAGCTAGCTGCCATGCGTGGCCGAACGGATGTTTGGGGTACCGGAGAGTTTGTTCGGTTAAAGCTTGTTATTCAATCTTTGTTGGAGAAGGAGCATCTTTATTGGAAGCAAAGAGCCAAGGAGTTTTGGTTAAAAGAGGGAGATATCAACTCTCGTTTTTTCCATAATGCTGTAAAACAAAGAAGACGTCGGAATAAATTGCAAGGGCTGCGGACTGAAATGGGGGAATGGGTTACGGATAGAGACCAGATGGCCGATTTGGTCAGAAATTATTTTGACAAAATTTTCAAGGAGCAGAACGAGGGGAGACAACTTGAGGAGACAGTGACTTTTACTCGAGTTACAGTAGACCAGAACGACAGGCTTTTAAGGCCCATCAGCTCGGAGGAAGTGAAGGCGGCAATCTTTGATATGCATCCTGATAAAGCCCCGGGTTCAGACGGCATGAATCCAGCTTTCTTCCAAAAATTCTGGGATGTTGTTGGCAGTGACATCACACGGTTGTGTAAAGGTATTTTCGATTCGGGTTCCTTACCGGCCGAGTTAAATGTCACAAATATTGTTTTAATTCCTAAGGTGGATAAACCAGAGGGAATGGGGGATTGGAGGCCTATAGCGTTGTGCAATGTAGTGTATAAAATTTTTTCAAAAGTTATTGCCAATCGTTTGAAAGATATATTGAGTAGCCTGATAGGGGAAAGCCAAAGTGCATTTATTCCAGGACGCTCAATTGTTGATAACATTATTGTGGCTTTTGAAACGCAACACTTTTTAAAGAGAAAGAGTACCGGAAAAGAGGGTTTTGTGGCTCTTAAGCTGGATATGAGCAAAGCTTATGATCGAGTCAGTTGGGCTTTTCTGAAAGACTTGATGCTTCGGATGGGGTTTCAGGCACGATGGATAGAGATCATTATGCTTTGTGTGACAACAGTGAACTATTATGTTCAATTTGACAGGGAGTTTTTGGGACCGATTTCCCCGGGAAGAGGGCTACGACAAGGGGACCCTCTTTCCCCTTATTTATTTATCCTGGTGGCAGAGGGTCTGAGTGCGTTGATGAGACGTGCTGAACAGAAAGGAGATTTGGAGGGCATTTCGGTTTGCAGGGGCGCACCTAAAGTGTCCCATCTTTTATTTGCTGATGATTGTTTTATCTTTTTTAAAGCAGATGGGAGAAACTGTTTGGCAGTTAAGAATATTTTGCAGGTGTATGAGGAGTGTTCGGGGCAGATGGTTAATTTTAACAAATCTTCTCTGAATTTTAGCCCAAACGTGGGTGAGCCGTTTAAAGATCAATGCTGTGATTTGTTTGAAATTCCGAGAGATAGTGGGCAGAAACTTTATCTTGGCTTGCCAGCTTTGGTTGGAAAGAATAGGAAGGTTATTTTGGGTTATTTGAGGGAAAGAATTTTTAACAGAATAAAAAGTTGGAATAACAGGTTCCTGTCCAGAGCAGGTAGGGCGGTTCTCCTAAAAAATGTCATTCAAGCAATGCCAACCTATGCTATGAATGTTTTCCTGCTCCCGAAAGATCTCTGTGATGATATTGAAAAATTAATGAATGGTTTTTGGTGGAAGGGGGCAAAGTTTGAACATAAGGGGCTGAGATGGAGGAGTTGGGATGCTTTGTGCAAGCCGAAGGAAGTAGGAGGTTTGGGCTTCCGGAGGATAAGAGAGTTTAATTTATCCATGTTGGCCAAACAAGGATGGAGATTAATCACGGAGCAGCACAGTCTTATGAGTCGTGTTTTAAAGGCTAAATATTTTCCTCAATCATCTTTCTTGGAAGCAAAGGTAGGTAATAACCCTTCCTTTATTTGGAGAAGTATCTTTGAGACACAGAATATTTTGAAGGAGAATATCCGGAGGAGAGTGGGGAATGGCATAAATGTTCAAGTTTGGGCTGATGCATGGCTACCGGGTCCTGGCACCGGGAAAATTATTTCGAATAAACCTCAGTGGGTGAGGGATATGAATGTGGCGGCTTTGCGGGATTATACTGGCACAAACTGGAATCGTGAACGGATAGATGCTTTATTTAATGAGACTGATAAACAGCGCATCCTAAGTGTGCCAATAAGCGTACAGAACCGGGAGGATAGTTATTGGTGGATAGGAGAAAAGAATGGCTCTTTTTCTGTTAAGAGTTGTTATAGGAAGGTGGTAGGAGAACAGAGTTCGGGATCTTGGGAGGGATGGAATAAAATTTGGGAATTGCATATCCCTCCAAAGTTCAAATATTTTGTTTGGCAAGTTATGGATGGTACTCTCCCTATTGTTGCAAATTTAAGAAAGAGAGGTATTAATATCCTAGGGGGTTGCAAGGTGTGTGGTTTGGAGGAGGAGGAAACTTTGATGCATGCTGTTCGGTCATGCCCCAAAGTGGAAGAGGTTTGGAGAGCTGCGCACTACAACTTGGGCGGGCAGCAGCAGTCGATCGAGGCATGGTTGCAGCAGCAATTGGAGCAGCAAGATCGCGACCTACGGGGCAGATTTGTGGCTCTCTTGTGGTGTATTTGGAAGAGGCGGAACAAGGCGGTGTGGGAGGATAAAACTCAGGAGGCTTCATCGGTAGTTAATATGGCGGATGGTATGATTGTTAGGTGGAAAGAGGCTCAAAAAGCCACTGCAGGGGCTGCTGCAGGCTTGCAGCGAGGAGGGCAGCAGAATGGTACGCGAACGGGTGCTCCGAGGGATAAATGGGAAGCTCCGGAGGAAGGGATAATAAAAATCAACGTCGACGGAGCAACTAATCAGGCGGCAGGCTTGCGTGCTTGGGGATGGATTGCTAGAGACCATCAAGGGGAGTTCATCAAAGCGAGAGGGGTTTCCCATAGAGCCGAATGGACAGTGGAGGAAACGGAAGCTTTAGGGATCAGGGACGCATTAAGTGGAGCTTTGGCTGAAGGATGGAATAGAGTGATAATTGAAAGTGATGCATTATCCGTGGTTCGGGGAATAACACGACGGGAGGGTGGCTCTTATCTTCAGCTTGTTCTTGATGATATTTTCTCTATTGTTGAGTCAAAGAGTGATTTTGAAGTCTCTTTTTGTAAAAGATCTGCGAACCATGTTGCTCATACATTAGCCAAGGCACATGTTAGTTCACCAGATCATGTCAAGGAATATGTGGAGGTTCCGGATTGTATTTATAGCCGTTTGGCGCACGATACTTTGATTTAATATTTAATGAATTTTTGACGATCAAAAAAATAAAAATAAAAGTGTAAGGGGACAATCAATTAAAATTCGTGTAATGCAATGGCGTACAAGTTCATAGTATTCCGTTGCATCATAGCACTATATGTGGAACTCTGTTATAATAAACACATTCTGTAATTTTTTAAAATAGTGTATAATCATTTAAATTTCTAACTTCCATACATGTACACATTTATTTAGATCATCTTTATTATTCGAAATACATGACGAATAAAGTTAATGTATTAATAGAAATTAATTTTTAGTGAGCGTGCTAATGAGTGGAGTAAGATGGCGTGATAAATGTTGGAGATTCTTTTATAATAAAAAGATTAGAGAAACATTATCATTCGTCAAACCTACATGTTCCGCGGTGAGTATATATTGTAACATGTTCACTATATATATACATATATATATATTCTCGTGTTTATTGATAAGTTAATTCTATAGACTTACTTGATATATCAAGTTGTCAACCATTATATTTTCATTGTGAAACTTGTGTTTAGTTGGCTACATAAAATTAAAGTGCTCTAATGAATAATGTACAAAATTATATAATGATCAAAGTTATAATTCAATTACTGAATCCTTTATTATTGGTTTATTATCATAATGTATATAATAATGTACACGTAGAAGTCTACAAATTAAAGGTCGACAACCTTTTACCAACTATGTGTGTTGGATGTATGTCTCGAGTAATCTAGCGGCTATTATTTAAAGCATTACCATCCCATTTTAAAAAACAAATAAGTTTAAATCTTCAAAAAAATAGTCTCTCAAAAAAGCATAACAATTAGTCCATTATTGTGATTGACCCGGTGATCAACCTGTGCATTCCCCATCTAAATATCAATCATATGTGTGGTGACGGCATCCCTGGATCATTTCACTCTCACCTCAAAAGATGCAATGTGTTATTCGTAACACCAATCAGATATATGTGGCTATTACAACAACATAACCCATGAGGTAAGCGGTTCATGAAGTTATTTTTCCTAGATTCGATCTCCATCCATGTCTTTACATTATTGCATTTGAACCACATTTTTCTTTTGGAAACTTAATCTTGTTTTGTTTCCTTGATCTGATGTTGGTATCTGGTATGGTCTTTTTATTTCTTTGATTGGTGTATAAAGAAACAAGCCTTATGTGATTTGTGATTTGTACTTTTCATGTTTCTATGACAATAATATATTTCACATACTAGTAGTTTTTTATTAGATTATTATTCTTGTTTTTAATTATTCGTGTTCCATGTATTATAGCTTTAAATCGATGAAAATGGTTGTGGCTATGTTAATAACAATGGCAGCTAAACAGTTAAGTCATCATGGGTGATATGTAGGGATAGGATGCAGGCAGTTTTTGGTGCAAATTGATATTAATATAGAAGTGTTGAAAGGGTGGCTTGGTAAATTTTGGATCAACAAATATGGCCTTAGGTAAATACTCTAGGATTGATGATAAGAAATCGTCGCCTTCTCATTGTTCAAAGGCAACTGTAGTGGTTGTGATAACCCTTTGTATAATTGGGGTGTGGATGATGACATCATCGTCTTCTGAAGGTGTGTCTTCTCAGGAGAGATATAACGAATCTAAGACACAAGCGAGTGAGGGTAATGGGAACAGTTTAACTAATGAAGAAAAAACAAAACCTTTCGAGGACAATCCGAGTAATTTACTTGTTGATGAAGCTAATAAGGATGCTCCTTTTCAACAAGAAAATGTTACAAATGTCCAAGATGCAACAACCGCAAGAGAAAACCCGTGGGAGATTGTAGAGAAACCCGAAGGTGAATCTAAAGGACTGCCGGATAATGTGGAAGAGAAGAATGAAAATGAAGCATTAAAGCAAGGGGATAAAGAGTCTGAAGAAGCGAGAGAGAAAATTGAAGGTGAGTCCAAGGGTGTACCTGAAAATATGGAGAAAGTTGAAGGTGAATCCAAGGGTGTGTTGGATAATGTGGAGAAAACTGAAGGTGGATCTAATGGTGTGCCAGATAATGTGGAGAAAACTGAAGGTGTGACCAATGGTGTGCCAGATAATGTGGAAGACAAGAAGGAAAGTGAAGCATTGAAGGGAGGGTATAAGGATTCTAGAGAATCAGGAGAAAAAAGTGAAAACAAGTTTGTTGAAAATGGTGCCGAGTTAAAGCCAGAAGAAGCTTATACTCATAATACAAAAGGTGGCGATGACAAGGGAAATGGTATAACAGAAGAGAAGGTTGTAGATAAAGAAGATCACGAAAGTTCTCCTAATCAATCTCCACTCCCATCAGATGTACCAAACATAAAAGAAGCACCTATTAGGGAGCCTTTAAATGAAGATCCAATGGAGAAAAAAGATTATGTGACTAATGTACTTCCTTCAGCGGATCAATCTGAACTTCTAAATGAAACCAAAACACAAAATGGGGCATTTTCAACCCAGGCAGTAGAGTCAAAGAATGAAAAATTAGCAGAGTCCTCTTTTGATTTGGCTAAAGGAAAAGAGTACACTTGGAAACTATGCAATGTCACAGCTGGACCTGATTTCATCCCCTGCCTTGATAATATAGAAGCCATTAAGAACCTCAAGAGTACAATGCATTATGAACACAGGGAGAGACATTGTCCAAACAATCCCCCCTCCTGTCTCATTCCTCTCCCTGAAGGATATCAACGCCCAATTAAGTGGCCCGCAAGTAGGGAAAAGGTAATCTATTAATATTCTCTTCTCCTTCTAAAGAAACATTAGCTTTCACATTATTATTGATTCTTATAAAGATTTGGGTTCCATACATCCTAGGCATGTAAAAAACCCGGCCCGTAATGCCCGCCCTGCCTCGAGACATTTGTGACGGGTCCTCCCAGCCCTGTCTTGCAAATGGGGCAGGTCCGTCCTGCCCCGTGCACACAATGGGGCTAGTCCAGTTCAATATATTATAATATTTAAGTATACATAATTTGTTTAAGATTATACTACAAATATACATATACATGTATAATAAATCATTAATTTATTGGTCATGTAATATATTATTTCCTTCATCCCACTAAGATTGTCTCATCTTCCTTTTTGATCTGCCCCACTATAATTGCCTCATACTAAATTTTGCGTCGTTCTAAATCATTTTTACTTTATTCTTACTTTATCAATTCAATATCAACCACATAACTCCATTTTTCTTGATAACCGTGACACCTTATCATTTCCCAATGTTAGGGACAGAGGGAGTAATATTTATATATGTGCAAGATGAATCATTAAGTGTCAATGCATTTATATATTGATTTGTTAATATAGATAGACAGACATTTTTTTCTTAGTTTTGATACCTTGTTTTGTATTGTGACTTTGTTTTAATATAATAGTGTTTTTAATCATTTGGAGGTAAACTTTATATAAATTCAAGATACAATGACTTTCCGCAAATTGAGATGTATACTAGCTAATTAGATTACGGTGGGGCGGGGCAGACCCGCCTCGCATGAGGCGGGGCAGACCCGCCTCGCATGAGGCGGGTCATAGGCCAACTTATAAGTTATAATGACCCGTGCGGATCATGGGGCGGGCAGGTCCATTTAATAAAGTCACAGGGCAGGTCCGGGTTTGTCACTACCTGCCCCACCCCTACCCATTGACATGCATAATACTTCCATCTTTAGGGAGTGATTTGATAGAAAAAGTAGTCTAATATTTACACATCAAGGTCAAGCATCTCATTTTCTTGTGTGTTTTTTTAATTTTCATAGGGGCGCCCTCCTAACAGAGCACCCATGATGGATAGAGGTCAAATTTGTTCTAATATCATCTTAAGCCAATAAGACTTGATTTACATTTTAAAAGTTAAGCCTGACCTAATAGTAGGAATAACCCCAGATACTATATATGTTGGTTGATTAGTTATGCTCTTTAACAACTCTGATGTTTGATTTTTTTGTCCTCCTATAGATATGGTACCACAATGTTCCACATACCAAGCTTGCAGCATATAAAGGACATCAAAATTGGGTTAAAGCTAATGGTGAATACCTTACCTTCCCGGGTGGTGGAACTCAGTTTGTTCATGGTGCTCTTCATTATATTGACTTTATACAGCAGGTTAGGACCAACTATTGCTCTTTATTCTATATCTAGTTCATCCAGATTTGGGTTAGAGGTTGGATGTTATAGTCGAGTGGGAGGTAGCTTCAAGTAACCTTTTTTTTTTCTTCCATTTCGATATAAGATTTATCAGATCTGGAGTTTATAAATGAAAATGGTAAGAGAAAACTATAACTCCTACATTGCTACTCACATGAAAAGTTGAAATTGGAATCAGACCTTGTCAAGTACTTCGTGTTCCCAAATAAGAATGCTCTCGTTGTCTCAAAGTATGCCCATTTCACTTTTCTTTTGATTGTAATGAAAACAAATCAGGCGTTTAAAAAATGAAAGTGGTTAGTATTTTAGAATGGCCTAAAAAGTAAAGTTCAACAAATAAGGTGTTACTCCCTCTATTCTGTTATCTTTGTCACAATTTCCTTTTTTTGTCTATCTCGCTTTGCTTATCTCATATCATACTTGATAATATTTGTGTGATTCTAATTCATTGTTATTTTATTTTTACTTTACCAATCACATAAGCGCTTTGTCATGTCCCAATCTAAGTGGGACGGAAGTAATTCTATATATGTGTATGTTCTACTTTGGTTCATCTTCATTCTTGTTCCAGAATATAGTTACTCAATTCTTATAATAATATGATGGAAAAATTGACAAAAATAATCTCACCTTGCGCTGGTCTTCTCATAATAATCCCACTTTTAGGTAATCCCAGAATAATCCCCACCTTTGCACATCATCTTCTTTCATTGGACCTTGACCATGTTTTTTACTCTTTTTTGGAAAATCATATAAATAATCTCACCTTTCACTTTTCTATTATATCTTTATAAATGTGAGATTATTTATATAAGATTTTCAAAGAAAGGTAAAAAACTTGGTTAGGGTCCAATGAAAGAAGATGAGGTGCAAATGTGGGATTATTTTGGGATTATGTAAAGGTAGGATTATTATGAGAAGACAAGTGAAATGTGGGATTATTCTTGTCAACTTTTCCTAATATGATTTGCAGTCTGTGCCTGACATTACCTGGGGGAAACGGGCACGTGTTGTATTAGATGTTGGGTGCGGCGTTGCTAGTTTTGGAGGCTACCTT